CTGAGGTTTCTCACAAACCTAAGTCCCAATTTGGACTTGATTCCTGGCTGTGTGACCTTGAGCGCGAAACTTGACCTCCCTGGGCCTTGGTTCCTCATCCTCAAAATGAGGCAATGATGCTGGCGCGGCGGGTTGTGCAAGGGCCCCTGAAACCGGCCAGGGAAGGCCCATCAGCTCTCTTCACCTGGGCCCTGCCCCACCCCCACCTCCGACCCCGTGCAGAAGGCTGTCTCCTAGGAACACCTCCCAGCCTCCCCTCCACACACACTCATTCTAAGATTGGAGGGTTCACCTGGCCTTGAGAGAGTCCTCTTCCCTACCAGCGCCCCCAATTCTGGAGCCTCTGTGCTTTGGGGCAGAGTTACTGAGAACCCGGAGACAAGGGGAGGAAGGGGCCCCAGCTGTGGGGGGCTTCCCCTCTGCAGGGCGCTAGCACCTCTTCCTCTTTGTCTGCCCTGAGAGGGATGGATTAATAGCACCTCAGTGCTTCACAGAAGGGGGAATGGAGGCTTGAATGAGTAGACCAGAGCCTGACATTTCTTTAAAAAGAGAGAGAGAAAGAAAGAAAAAGGTGGAGAAAGGCTGAGCCGGGAGAGCCCTGTTCCAGGATCTCACCACACCTTCTGCGGACAAGTTCAGCTTGTGACCCGCCCGTCTGTGCCTGTGAAGCTCGGCGGAAGGCGACTGGAGAGAAATGAATGGGGATCGGCCTGCCGCAGCGTCCCCTCTGAGACCCGCTGTGAGGTCTAGAAACAGGGCCTGGGCCCTCCCCCTCTGCTCAGACCCACCTGCCCCCTCACCTGGAGCCACACCTAAGGGCCCCAGCTTCTCAGACTCAGCTGGCTCAGCCCTCCCCCCTCACACACACACACCTGCCCTGCTCTCCGCTGTGGGAGATGGCAAGACCATCTGTCCAGATGCCTACGCCTAGAACTGGAGTCACACTCGCCACCTGTCTCCCCATCTCCTCTCCGTCGCTGGCGTCCCTGTCCAGGGCTGTGTCCTCCCCACCCTGTTTTATGGTGACACTCTCCTGGGTTCGGGCACTCTGGGCTCTGCTGCGAGCCTCTGTCCACCCTCCGCTCAAAGGCAGGCAGAGTGAGCCTTGTCAGATATAACAACGAGCGCGTCATCCCCCGACGGACAGCCCTGGGAGCTCCCTGGGACCCCCCGATTCTTAGACAGTCAGGTGAGGTCTTTTATTCTTGTCATCACCTTGCCCTGGCTCGGTGCTCCTTCTCTTGTTGCTCCTCCTCGTCCACAGACAGCCTGGATGCAAGCCACTGTCCTACACATGCGCGTGCATACACGCCATCTTCCTAGTGGGACACACGGTTATTAATCCCTCACCCAGATGGCCCCATCTCCTCCTGTCCTGCAGAACACTGACTTATGAGGTCAGAAAAGAGCCTGGGTTTTGGAGACAGGGGTTTGAATTTCAGCTTCTTATTCTTTTATTCAGCAAATATTCATTTAGCACCTGTTATGTCCCAAATGCTGTTTTACCCACAGAATGCAAGAGTGTATAAAATATATACGTATATATTGTCCTTTCCCTTGTCAAGATTATAGTCCAGTGTCGGAGATAGACTTTAACCCGAGCATCGCCCAGGGAAAGTTACTCTGTGCCAAGGGCTAGGAAGGCCGGTACTGAGCATTATGAGAGGTTGGCCGAGGCCAGATCGTTAAGGAAGGCTTCCCTGGGGAAGGCCCTCTTTGGGTTGAAATCAGAGTTAAGTGGACAAAAGGGAAGACAGGGAGAAGGGAAGGAAAGGCAGGCGGGAACAGGCATTTCCTAGCTGTGGGAGCTTGGGCAAGTGACTTGATACTTTTGAGCCTCAGTCTCCTCACCTTCAAAATGGGCTGATCACAGTAGTTTCAAGGCCAGTGTGATGAGGCCAAAGTAGAGCCTCCACGAGTGGCTCTGAGCCTCCCTTTTCCCTCTGGCTGTGCCTGTGTCTTAGAGAGGAAGTGGCCTAGCCCGGTCTCTGCAGTTACAAAAACCAGGAAGTCACCCTTTGCTGACACGTATCTGAGTTGAGTTTCACTTGTCACCTGCAACTGAAAAAGCCCTGCCTAGCACAGGAAATAAACAAGACGTCTTAGTCAGATGGTGGCGTGAGAGCAACGGGGTGGACTGGCCGTCTGGGTGGACAGCCGGGACAGGGCTGCACGGAAGAGAGGACACGCGGGCTGGGGCTAAAGCATTCCATACAGAGAGAACAGCATGTGCAAAGGCTCAGAGGCATGAAGCTCCATGGGGGAAAGGGTGGGTCTTCAGAACTCGAAGACTTTTCTCTCCGCCAGTAAGACCCTATGCGCACACAGTAACAGTAGGCAGCCAGGCAGCCGCCGCACATGTCTGTCCCCAGTTCCCGGGACGGCTCCGGAGCAGCGTGCCTGGGGCGACGATGGTTCAGTGGAGGCAGTGGCTGCCCTTTTCCACGGTTTTCAGGAGAACTGGGCAGAGTCAACAGCTGAAAACCGAGGCGTATCTTCAGGCAGCCTCAGAAGCCAGCCTCGCTGTCAAGGCCTCTCCGCACTAGACGCTAATAAACTCCTTATCTCTTACCTGGTCCCAGCCGGAGCCCTGTCTTCTGAGGACACAGCGAGGAGGTGATCCCCTCGCACGCCTGGCTCCTGCAAAAGTGTACTAAGAGGATTTTCTAAGAACGTTTTAGCCCACGGGGTTTTCCTAATCCGGTCGGCAAATATTCTTCTGTTTAACCTCATTGATCCTCCTTTTTAAATGGGATTTGTCTCCCTGAGACAAATGGCTAAATCGATAGGACCACAGCCAGGATTTTCTGTGGCTGCTGCCCTGGCTGCTATCAAAAGAATCCATGCTGTTTTAAACCCAGACGGGCCTGGTTCCTTGGCGACAGGTCACCCCTGAGCTACTCCCCCACACCCCCACACCCCAACCCCTGGCGCCAGCCCTGCAGACATGCTCAGCCTGGCTCAGCGGAGCCCAGGCAGAAAGATTGAGATGACCCATCATCCGCATCCACCCTGGGGCTGGAAAAGCCACCTCATTGATGGTGACCTGAGGCCTCGGCAAACCCCAAGGTCAGTGCCCAGGTCCCAGCCCTCCCCAGCTCAGAAGCATGGAGAGCCGAGAGCAGCCATGTCAGGCAGGCGGAAACAGTTATGCCAGAAGGTAGTGCAGGCGTGCAGATAGTGGAAGGGAGATGGGCTCACAAGTCAGACAGTCCTGGGTTCAAATCCCTCCTCTCTGACTTACTAGCTCTGGGACCTGGAGCAAGTTACTTAACCTCGCTGAGCCTGAGTTTCCTCATCTTTAAGATGGTAACATTAGCCCTAGCTGGGTTTGCTCAGTGGATAAAGCATCGGCCTGCAGACTGAAGGGCCCCAGTTCGATTCCAGTCAAGGGCACATGCCTGGGTTGTGGACTTGATCTCCAGTGGGGGGTGTGCAGGAGGCAGCTGATCAATGATTCTCATCATTGATGTTTCTATCTTTCACTCTCCCTTCCTATCTGAAATCAATAAAAACTGTATTTTTAAAAAATAATAATAAAAGCATAATATGCTAATTAGACCAGACGGCTGAACAGTGGAAAGACCGTTTGGACGACCTTCCAGATGAAGCCAGGGCTGCAAGGGCCAAGCCCCTTGCATAAATTTCGTGCATCGGGCCTCTAGTAAAATAAAATAAAATGGTAACATTAAAGGGAGGAGGGGTTGGGAGAAGTGATTGAGAAGTATAGATTGGTAGTTACAAAATAGTCACAAGGATATAAAGTTCCGCATAAGGAATATAATCAATATATCCTATCTAATAAAAGAGAAACAT